TTTTTTTTTTTTTTTTTGGTACTGTGGATCAAACTCAGGACCTTGGGCAGGCACAGGCGTGGCACCGCTGAGCTAAATCCCCGTCCCCAGCAGTCCGTATTTTTGTTCAGTCTCCTGAAGGCGCTCATGAAGAGGACCTCAGGAACTTCTCTAGAAAGTGACAAGAATTGATGGGATAAGTGTGTTCAAAACAAAGACGGGGAGGGAGTATGTTACGGGAGATTAATGGTGATGTGTCTTTTATGGCAACAAATTTTTACACTTTAAGCACACACCGTTTGTTGTTGTTGTTGTTTTTGATCAGCTCTTGTATGACACACTACCTGAAGCTGGGTAATTCCTGAAGAATAGAGATTTATTCCCTATAGTTCTGGAGGCTGAAGTCCAACGCCAGAGGCCTGCATCTAACTTGGGCTTCTTGTTGCAACCATCCAGCGACAGAAAGTGAGGGGAAATGGAGAAAAAGAAGGTGCGTCCCAAGGGGATGCGCACCCTTTTATCAGTTCCCTAGGTAACGCCCACGGCATTTTAAAAATGTAAGAGGCATTTTTAGATCCTAGGCTCATAGGTACAAAAAACTGGCAGCTTTGTAGGGCTAAGGCTTCACATGGCCCTGAAACAGCTGCTCACATAGAGATCCTGTCGGAAAGGCCTGGCCTAGGAACCCTGCGAATCTTAGACTCGGGCTTTGTACCGCTCTGCTCAGGCTGTCCGAACAAAGCACCACAGGCCGGTGGCACAAACAGTAGTCACTGTCTCACATCCTGGGGGCTGCAAGTCCAAGATCAAGGTGTGGGCAGGGCTCAGACCTCTGTCCTTGCCTCGCAGATGATGTCTTCTCCCTGTGTCCTCACATGGTTGTCCTTCGTGTGTCTGTGTCATGACTTCCTCTTCTTACAGGACTCCAGTAAAATGGATTAGGGCCCTGACCGGTGACCTCCCTGTAACTCAATCATCTGCAAAACTCCATTTCCAAACACAGTCCGATACTCTAATATGGGGGTTAGGGATGCAACATGTGATTTCAGGGGACATGTTCAGCCAGTAGATGCTTTTAGGACTGACACAAGGCATGACGTCTTTAAGGATTACAGGGCCTGGGGGTCGACCTGGCCCAAGACTCAGAGGGCTCTTTCCTTGGAAGCTGCAGCTTGTCTCCAGCTGGGCCATCTAGAGCCAGGTATGTGCAAACCATAGATCTGCCGGAACCCAAAAAGGGGCTGGGCAGAAGGCTGGGAGGAGGCTGGCACTGGAGATGTGTCCTGGCCATTCTCCGGGGAACCAGTTTGGTGTGTTAACAGTTTCTGTTGAAACTGATCCAGGGAGCTTCCCAGAAGGGCCTCCCAAGCTCCAAAATAAAGCCTTTGTTGCTAGTGATGGCTGTTGACTTTCCCTAGCCCAGGAGCCGGTGAATGCCAGAGATAAGAGAACACAGGGGGTCTGGCTTAGTCACCTACACCTGACAGGGGTGGTAACCCCATGTGGCTTCCAACTTGCAACACACAGACTTAACTTTATCCACAACCACCTGAGCAGCGCCACGGGAAGAGAGTGGAATGTTCCAGTCCCAACAGCGCTCTTTCCCTCCTCACTGTGTCTCTCAGAAGCAGGAGCTCAGGGCTCCTCCTCTTTCTCTTTTTCCTGAAGAGTTCTGATGCAAACTTATTCCCCCTTTTGGAAGCCTAACTCTTTTGAATAGATCTAATCAGCCCAGCCAGATAGCAGTGTGCTATTCCTGCCCATATTGGAGGGTTTTACCAGTGACTGGAGAGGGGATGGGAGAATAAATCAGAGGAATGGCACCAGGCACTTAGACCTCACAATATCACAACTGTGTGGATATCCCAGGACTGCCATAACAAAGAGCGCTTGAAACAGTACATACCTGTTCTTCCAGAGCTCTTGAGGTCAGATGTCAGAAACCAAGGCTTCAGCAGGGCTGTGCTGTCCCAAGGCTCTAGGGGAGGGTGTTTCCTGCCTTTTCTAGCTCTGGGGACCTCAAGTATCCCTCGGCTTATGGCCTTGCCGCTCTAGTCTCTGACTCTGACTTCGTGGGACCTTTCCTACTTTTCCTTCTCTGTCTCAGTCTCCCTGTGCCTTTTACCTCAAGAACACCTGACATTGGATTCAGGGCCCACCTTAAGGCCAGGAACATCTCCTTTGGGGCCTTTACCTGAGTTACACCAGCAAAGGCCCCTTTCCAAAGAAAGTCACATTCACAGGGTCTGACAGTTAGAGCTTGGACATTATTTTCTGGGGACACCATTCTCCCTATTGCAGCTGGTTTCTCCCTTTAATCATCAGCCCCAACTCTATCTTCCATGTTTCTGCTCTGCATCGGGATGCTGGGGCTGCAACTCTGTAAACAACAATTCCAGGACTTCCTTACCAACTGCTCTTGTTAGACTGCTCAAGCAGGACATCCTAGAGGCCAATTGGAAGTGCAAGGTGGGGGTGTTTTGGTCCTGCTTTCCCACTCTTTCCTGCACCCCCCCATCCCCCCAAACAGCAGCAAGTGCCCCAGCATCAACCCTCTTCAGGGCCAGAGGCAGAACCCAAGTAGTCAACAATGCCCTCCTCCTGCTCCAACTCTGGCTCAGGGGACTCCTTTGGGCTTGGTCCTTGGCCCCACCTGCCTTAATTGTAGCCACAGTTGTTTGTTCTGTAGTGTTGATGCCACCTGCCTCAAGAGTGCATCTTATACCCCACGGAAAAGTCAGAGGAAACACAAGTTAACTGTGCAGTCTTCCCCATCGTGCATGGGATACTTCCCAGAAATCCCAGTGGGTGCCTGAGACCTTGGGGGACACCCCACCCCACTCACTATTTCCTCTGTACATACAGACCTAGAAAAAAGTTTAATTTATGAACTAGACATGGTAAGAAACTTACAGCACTGAGTAATGATAAAACAGAGCAATGAGATCAAGATCCTGCAATAAAAGTTACACGAATGTGATCTCTTTCTCAAAAGGGTCAAGACAGATATTAATATTTTTGGACCACCCATAGGTGAAGCCTTGGAAAGTGACATCTTGTGTACCAAAGAACATGGTACAAAGAGCAGTGCATCAGAGAGCAGAAGTGGATATAAATGGGTTGCACAAGTGTAAGATCCAGGGTCCTAGTATGACAAAATCAAACTCTGCACCAAAATAGCATTGAGCGATCAGGGTCACTTATAAGAATTCAAGTCCCCTGAGCTCTGTAGGCTGCACTTGGCCTCCATTTGTTTATGTTTTCCCTTGGGCCATAGCCCCTCCAGCCTGTGGGCTTTATCCCAGTTTTGGGGAGCAACAGCGGCTTCTGCCTCTGGGAGAGGTCATCCTTCCAGGTCTAACCTCCTGACCCCTCCACAGCTTGAATCTGGGCCTTTGCTCATCTTCCCAAGGCATGGAGTCTCAGGGTATCCCCGGAGCTTCTGCATCCACCCTTCACCCAGTAATTGAGGTTGAGAGCCAACATGGTAGCAAGGCCCCTCGTGGGAGTGCTGAAAGGAACCCAGAGGCAGGACACAGGCTTAGCCCAGAGTCACTCATTCATTCCAGCCTGAGAAGCCACCTTGACCCACAGGCTACCAGGCAATGGGACACCAGGCTACACCCTGTGCAACCTCAAGTTGAGAAACAAAGTTCCTTCCACACAGCCCAAACACAGATGGGGGTCAGCTAAGAGAGTCAAAGGCATCATTACAGCATTAATTGCCCTATTGTTCCTCTAGCCCCATTGCACTGTTGCCCCATAGCATTCCTGCCCCAGGATCGCTCTCTCAGGCTGACCCCCATCTCAGTGTTTGTGCTGTGAGGGTGTGGAAGGAGGCTTATCTCAGCCAATTGCTGAGCATGCCCCTTTCCTGAAGACCTGGGACTCCACTGATGAGCAAACGTGGCCCAGGAACTCCCCTTGCTGAACCTACATGTCATGCACAGTAGCCTATGATCCTTGCTCATCTGATTCTTCTCTCTTGCATTTTGGTTCAAACCCATGGGCATGGGCTTGATGGCTCTGCATTCTTGCTCCCTGCCTATTTTCATCCCCAGAGGGACATTCCCTACTAACTTCTTGCACCTTTAATCCAACCCAATGTCTGCTTCTTGGGGGACCCAAATTAACTCACTAGACAACTGGTAAACCTCAACTGGCAGAATGAAAAATTTCATCCCCCTTGAAAGCGGCTAGGTTCATTTTCCTGAGAGCTAGGACTTGAATCGTGCTACAGACCCTTTCCTGGCCAGTCCTCCAAAACAAGCATCCCAGGGGTGTCCCTAAACCTCCCCACCAAAGCTTTTCTCCATGCTGCTCTCAGTTTCCTCATCTGCAAAATAGAAATACAAGTGCTCTGGCAAAAATGCCTCAGGAGCATTTCACATGCAGGCAGTTGGCCAAGACCTTAAGTGGCAGTTGGCCACTGTTGAAACTGTACACAGGGTTAGAGAGTCCTCATGCTCATACTTGACTTCGGGCCTTTCCTGTTGCTGTTCACATTGGCTAAGTGCCACGGAGCCCCCAACTCCTATCTCTGCCCTGGGCTCATCCATCCTGCTATGTTTTCTAGACTGTGTTGGTGGGAATGGAGGAGGAAGACTGGTTTACTGGAGATGACGCCCAGGAAAACAGAGAGAAACTCATTCTGCAGTATCCTATCTCCCGGGGAGCTGTCGCCAGCTGGGACAACCTGGAGAAGGTGGGTCACAGATTCCACTGGGAGGACCTGGCACAGGACCCCCTACTGCTACCTCAGCACCAAGGAAGGGGTCAATATATTGCCCTGTCACATCTCTTAGCTCTTAGTCCCTCTAGATGTCTCATCATGGTCTCAGCTACCAGGCTGTGCAGTCAGGAGGCCCAAGTTTGAATCCTGTCTCCACTGCTAATTATCGATATCATTTGGGACATGAGCTGTGGCCTCAGTTATCCTTAGTTTCCTTGTTTTAAAGACAGGCATAATTGCCTTTGCTATACCATACTGTGGGGATTAAAGGAATCAATGGAAAAGAAGTCTTTAATCCCAGATACTAAGAAATAATACATACGTGAAATCAAACCTCTTTCTGTCATAACCAAGGGTTCTGATCAGGGCCTCTACATGTATTCGGATAGGGTGCAAGTGTCTTAGAAGATGTATTATGGTCAGAGAGCTTAAACAATAGAAATCTGTCACTTCACAGTACTGGAGGCCAGAAGTCCAAGATCCAGATGTCAGCAAGGCAAGTTTTTCATGGCTGTGAGGGAGAATCTGTTCCTGATCTCTTCCCTGGTTTCAAGAAATTTTACATCTTTTGGGTTCCTTGACTAGCAGATGCCTCACTCTGATCTCTGCCTCCATCTTCGTATGATTTTTCTGTATGTTTCTGTTTCCAAATTGCTTGTTTTTCCTATTGAATTATGGAATATTCCACCTCAGCATGACCTCCTTCAACTTAACTAATTACATCTACAGCAACCCTATTCCCAAATAAAGTCACATTCTGGGGTGCCAGGGGCTAGGCCTTCAACACAATTCATCCCATAACAATGGTATAACAATGCATGACATATCAGCCCCACACTTGCAGCTCCTAACAGCAGTGGCTGATCCTTTTACAGTTCAGGAATTTGGATCTGGTCTGGGGTCTCTAGAAGGTTCAGGCAGACATGGATGGGGCGACAGCATCAGGTGGCCTGATTGGGCTGAAGACCAAGGTCGCAGGTGTCTCTGTCAATGGCTGGCAGGTGGCTTCTCTTCACATGGACATCTCTGTGGGGCTGCCCAGATGTACTCAAACATGCTGGCTTTTCCTGGAGACCAGGTGGAGGCTATGGTGACCCTGTGATGCAGCCCATGGAAGCCACACTGCCACCTCTGCCTTATTCTGCTGGTCCTATGGTCCAGTCATGATTCCGTGTAGGAAAGGCCTGCACAGGGCACAGGTTGCAAGAGGCTGGCTGTGGGCACACCAGTCGCAGACATGTTCACATCTGTGCCGTCAAAGTGTTAGCTCTGGTTGTGGCTCTGAGTGTGGAGGGGATGCAGATCCTGGAGCAGTGTAGACTGACTTCAGAATGCACAGGCCCTGGTGCCTTTTCCCACTGGGCTGTGGTTGCACCCCTCCCCGCACTGAGTGGGGCTCACCGTTTGCCTACATCTTGGGGGCTGGTGCTGTGTCCGCAGTCAGTGCCAGCTCTGGGTTTTAGCCAACTATAGTGTCCCTGGTGGAGTCCCTTTCTATGCTCCCTTTTCCCCCATCTCCTGATTCACCCACCCACACATACCCAGGGATAGATTGTCACACCCTGCTTCAAGCTACCAGAGCATCAGGTGTGAGTCCACCTGGGTTTTCCCACTGTGTAGGTGCTGTGATGCCTTAGGTGTCTGCTGCAACCTCATGATACCTTCACGGCCAGAGTTTCTCCACTCCTCTTGCCAGTGGAGGTGTCCCCCGCTACTCTCCATCATGCACAGAGCTTCCCTCCCGAGGAGCAGGCAGGAACATCACATGTAATAACTGGCATTGTTTGTGGAAATCTACTATGTGCCAAGGTCTACATTAGGTGGCACAGGCTGGACTGTGAACTCCAGGAATTCTGATCTCTAATCCCTCAGAATGTAACTGAATTTGGAAGACAGGGCCTTTAAAGTAGTGATTAAGTGAAAACAGGGTCATTAGGGTAGATCCTTAGCCACATGACTGGGATCCTTATAAGAAGAGATTGGGACGCAGACACACACAGGAAGGAGATGCCATCTATAAGCTAATGAGAGAGGTCTCAGGAAGGACCAGCCCTGTGGACACCTAGATCTGGGACTTGCGTTCCCCAGGATGTGGGACGATAACTGTCTGCTGTTGCAGCCACCTGGTTTGATAGGCAGTAGATACATCAGGCTTTTTAACAAAGTCATTATCTCATCTTCACAGTCCTCTCTCAGGTAGGGAATATTTTTCACCTTAAAGATGCACACTTAGGCCCATTAAGGTCACCTTACTTTTCCAGGACACACGCTTGTATGTGGCAGAACCTGTCAATGCTGGGCCCTCACTGCACAGCCAGGCTGCCTGGTCTCAGGCTCACCCCACAGTGTGGGTGCAAATGCCCATGTCCGTCAGACCTGAGGTCGCCTGGACAGCACCATGCCTTCTGGCTCCATTTGCCCTGCTTCCTCTAGGCCTTCAGGCTTCACACAGTTGAACGCTGTGTGTCCCGTTCATAGTCACACTCTACCCTCCCTGCAGCGTCATCAGCCACAGTGCTCTGACTCTGAACTGGAGGCTGCAGATGCTGCCTAAAATGCAGCAATCTTTAGGTATCCTTGGGGATTGTTTCTAGGGCCTCCTCAGGCACTAAATCCAAGGGCTGTAGGATGGAATGGTAGTACATGAATATAACCCACACAGGCCCTCCTGTATACTTTAGTTAATCCCTTTCTGCTGCTTAATTAGCCCATCCGTCTACTACAACAGAAAGGTCATGTAAATAACCGTTGTACTGTGTTGTTTAGAGAGTAATGGCAAGAAGGAAATTCTGTACGTATTCAGCACAGACACATTTTGGGGGAGTATTTTTTGATCGTTGGTTGGTTGAATATTTGGATGTGGAACGCATGGATTTAGAAGCCAACTGTACTGCTTGGTCAGATATACAAAGAAAAAGAAAGAGAGGGCGGGTGGGAAGGAAAGAAAGAAAAGAAAGGAAGAAAAGAAAAAAAAGAAAGAAAAAAAGAACCAGGTATGGTGGCACACGCCTATAATCCCAGCACTAGGGAGGCTGAAGCAGGAGGATCACTGCAAGTTTGAGGCTGGCCTGGGCTACATAATGAGTTCAAGACTAGCCTGAACTATGTAGTGTAATCCTGTTGGGAGAGAGAGAGAGAGAGAGAGAGAGAGAGAGAGAGAGGATAAATGAATGAGAGATGGATTGATGGATGATAAATATAAAAGAAATTGATCGATGGGTGGAGAGCACTGACACACTGCTCAAACAGCTGGACTCTTAGAGCAGCCCACTCTGCTTCCTCTTTCCCCCCAGATTTGGCATCATTCCTTCTACCAGGTACTCCGCATCGCTCCCGAAGAGCATCCTCTGATGGTGACTGAACCACCTTTAAATTCAGCATCCACCAAAGAGAGAGTGTGCCAGGTAACGGGGCCGGGTGGAGGGTGGAGGGTGGGTTGAATCAGGTGGTAGAGCCCCGGAGGGCCCACCCCAGGGTGCCCGCACAGACTGCAGAGTCCACCCTGGGGCTGGAGTGGGGCCAGGTGGGATGGGCACTGCAGGGGTCTCTGCTGGCTGCTGGTGTTTTCATGTCCTCCAGATCTCCTAATGAGGACACTGATGAGCTATTTAAGCAGCACCAAGGCTCATCCATCTGGCCCAGTGCCTCTGAGCCTAGTGCTGTCTCCCACAGTGAACGGCAACCTGAAAGGTAGGCCCAGGCCAAGGCACCACCTGCAGTTGGCACAGCATCTCCAGGGGTAGGTGCCAGCCCTGTGAAAGAGAGCCCAAAGCGAGCCACTGACCTGCCTCTGCATGTGGGCCAGTGCTGGGCTTGCCCTCAGACCAGTCACAGCAGGCATCTGCCTGGAGAATACCCACTGTCCACAAGGACCTCAGGAGCTGGAGGACGATAGGAGGCTGAGGCCACCTTCACCCCAGGAGCAAGGTGCCCCTCACTGTACTGAGGAGAAAAAGAGTACTAGGTGTGTGAGGAACTGGCTGGTGTGGTTACTGTCGTCACAAGCTGGAGACCAGGAGAGCAATAGTGTAGCCTCAACCTGAAGGCCCAGGAGAGCCACCACCACAGTTTGAGCCTGGAGACCAGAAGATCCCTGTCCCAAATCCGAGGTCAGTTAGGGGTGACCTCCTACGCAGGCTCCACACTCTTCTCAAGGCTGCAAGTGACTGTACCAGCCACCTGCATCCCAGGGCCCACCGACCCAATGTCACTGTCATGCAGGAACACTCCCATGGGCACACCACCATAACGCTTGCCTAAACGTCAGTGTACCCAGAGCCTGGGCAGGTCGATCTGTGGAATTCACCATGGCAACAGCCGTGGCATGGGCACACTCTCTGCCTCTGGTGTATCCCTGCATTCCCTGGGCCACTGTGCTCTCTGCCCCAGACCCACCCCTTGTATGTCAGGGACCAGCAGGAGATCACCCACTCGGGCTTCTCCTGCAGAAGTTGATAGGAAGATTGCACTCATGGCAGCGTGCCTCTTCGGGAAAGCAGCTTGGATACTGCAGTGTGCCAGGGCTGATAATGGGGCCATTGCCACCTTAGGCTCTAAAGAGCAGTAGTGGCCACCCAGAGTGAGGGCCCTCACTATGGCATCAGAAGAGGGACCTGGCTAGGAGCAAGCAGGGACATCAAAGCCCCCTTTCCCTGTCTGGTGTCCCCATCTCTTCTTGGTGCCTCTATGGATAGAAGCTAAAGGGCCACCCAGGAGCGGTGCCCAGGATTCCACCCTGGCAGAGGGTAGCGAGTGACCAAGGATGTGGCAGCCAGTTCCCTACCACCCTCAGCAGGCAGGAAGAACGTGGCCACATTGCAAGGACAGGGACATTTCTGCCCCTATGGGCTCTGATTCTACCCCTCCCTCATGCAGCACCCACCCAGTGGGGCTCCTGGCCCTGACAGCATCCCTCTGTGTAGCTGCCCAACTTCCACGGCCCTAGGAGACTGGAACAGCTGAGAGATGCAGAGTTGTTTCCTCCTGGAAGACGTTTTTGTGTTAACAGAAGTTTGGGGTCCAGGTCTCAGAGGAAAAGCCAGTGCAGGCAGCAGCCAGGGTACCAAAAAGGGCCTGGCACTGGGATCCCTGGTTCTGGCCCCAACTCTGCTAGTACATGTCAGGTAGCTTAGTGGTACTCTATCTGCCTTGGTTTCCCCATCAGAAGGTCAATAATGGTGCCTTCCTGGGGTTTTGGTAAGGATGGAATGAGTTAATGCACTTGAAACACTAGATCTTCCTCCATATTGAGCCTTCAGCAAATGCTGCTCTTACTATCCCGAGACTGGATTTACTCGTCTGTGTAGCAAGCGTTTGACTGACTGTAGGACCCTCCAGACTCTCCAGACCCTCCAGTCTCTGTGACCTGCACGCTCCACAGTGGACAGTGGGGGCTGAGGCTAGTGTTTCTCTTTGTGATTTTAGGGGCCAGGACACTGGTTCCATCACAAAAGCTGTTCTCCCATCAGGAGTTTGTCTCTTCCCTCCTGGCCAAGTGCCACACTTGTGCGTCCATCACCTATGGACGCCCATCTGTGGGGTCTCCTGTTTGGGGTAACAAAAGCCAGTACAAATCATCATGAGGTGGTCTTCATACAGATGTATTTTCCCTTCTGAGTGAACATCCAGCCCAGCCTGAATGCTGCCCAGTGATCTAGTCACGTATCTTAACAAGTACAGTGTTCAAGGAATCATCCCAGCCATGCAAGATATGATTCTAAAACGTGCTGTATTGGCCCCATTTTGAGGTCCTGGTTGAGGCCATTCAGTGCCCCTCTGAGCAGCTGAATTCGTTAATTCCCCATCACTGCCCTTGTGAAACTCTGAGACTCCAAGGCCGTAGTGCAACTCTCTCGTCTTTCTGGGGTCAGATGCCAGACACTTAGGGACAGTCCCCAGCCAGGAGCCCAGGAAATGGTCGAGATCAGCTCCTGCAAACCCACCTGCTGGGCTGCTCAGTGTCACATGCCTGGACAGGAGTCTCTGTGGGGTGCCCGGCACCTTGCTCTTATCAGAGAGCAGGCAGGAGAGTCTGCCTTTTGTCTAGCCGAGTGGTACTGCAACAGCCCCAACACTGAAGTGATCCTCCGACCCCGCGGAACACAGCATCACGATCCCATAGGTGTCCACCACTCACCCAGCCAATGTCAAAGAGTCACAGCCCTGCCTGCTGCCACCTGTACTCATCCTGCCATCTGCTCACTCCCATTTCTGTCCTACGTTCTTACCCACAAGGCGAGTATCATACCGGGGAAGGCAAAGCCAGTGTGTCTCACCTGATCACTCCTTCTGATCTGGTCAGAACCCAAACTGTGCTTCTGGAGTAAACCATATCTGGACAAGAAATCCAGCATATAATTACTGCACAACAGCTGTTAGCTGTGGTAGGCTGCGTTGTCATGAAAGACAGCTCCCTCCAAATGAAAAGGTGGGGATTCCATGGCACCATGCACTTCCCAGCAGCAGAAGGGTGTATCCCTGAAAACAGTTGAGTCCACAGAGTAAAGATACAGCAATGTAAAGAGAGTGTAAAGCTCCTGTAAAGACACAGCAGTTGCAAGACTTTCTTGTGCCCTAATCCAAACAGTCCCCACAGGAGCCCCCAGAAGAAGGTTGTGAGCCCCCTTCACAGTCTGAGAAACAGAGCCCACTGCTGGTTGGTGCAGAGCCAGCTAGAGCGGGCTGTGCCTTTGACTTGGCCTGGATCGCCCTAGGGCCAGTGCCTGCTGCAGTAGGGACTCATGCTAATTTAGGGGAGTGAGCTGGAGCTCTTCCTGCTTTGTCTGCACCTCAGGCTGCCAGCTGCCAATGTTCCTCCCTAGATCCTGTTCGAGACCTTCAATGTACCTGCCCTGAGTTTAACCAATCAAGGAGTCCTTTCTCTGTATGCTTCGGGCCAAACTTCTGGTGAGTGGCCCTGGGGGAGCCCCGCCCACACATCCTTGTCCCTGTGACTGGTGACTGGTGACAGCTCTGCAACATACAACCCACCTCTCCCTGAAAAATAGAGACAACTCTTCAAAGCTCACACTCCCCTGCCCCTTTCCTGACTCCCTCCGCTTTCATCCTTCCTGGTTAAATAGGCCACGACAAGACTTTACAATTTTGCTAGGCTCACTTTTTCTCTTTAACAGCTTTACTGCTATGTAATTGTCATGCAATAAACTGTACTAGTTTTAGGCATATAGTTTGACAGGTTCTGATACGTGGATGCACTCACAAAACCATCACCACCACTATGATAAACCTACCCACTGCTCCTGAAGTTCCCTTCATACCTCCACTCTTCTCTTTCTGCCTGTCCCCGGATGACCACCAGCCTGTCTGTCCCAATAAAGGAGTTTGCATTTCCCAGTCTTTTGTATGAAGGGAACTCTGAGGCAATTGCTCTATTTTGTGTGTCTTTTTCTATCGTGCATAATTATTTGGAGATTCATCTGTGCTGTTGTTTGTACCAATAGTTCATTTCTTTTTATTGCTAAGTAGTGTTCTGTTTTGTGAATGCACCATTCTTTGTCTGTTCACCCATGAATGGCTATTTGTGTCATTTCCAGTTTGGGGCTATTATGATTAGAGTTGCTGTGGACATTTGTGTGCAAGTCTGTGCATGGATATACGCTCTCACGCCTTTTGGGTAATTACCTGCAAGGGGAATGGCTGGGTTATATGACAGGTGCCGCTGAGCTTTTTATAAAAATCTGCCTAACTAGTTGCCAAAACAGCTGCACAATTTTGCATTCCCACAGCCGTAGGGGGGAACTCCGGTTCCTCCACATCTTCCCAGCACTTGTGTGATCAGTCGTCTGCTTTTTAGCTCTCCCACTAGGGGTGCAGAGGGACCTTCTTGTGGTTCCATTTGCAGATCCCCAACTATAAGTGATGCTGAGTACATTGTTATGCTTTTTGCCACACATGTGTATTAGTCACCTTCCTGTCACTGGGACAAAACACCCAAAGCCCACAACTTAAAGGAAGTTTATTTTGACGCATAGATTCGGTCCACGGTCAGCTGGCTCCGAGGCAGAAACAGCACTGTGAAAGGTCATGGCAGCCAGCAAAGGCAGAAGAGAAGGGAGGAGCTGGAGGCAAGAGTCCAACAGATTCCACCTCCAGAAAGCACATTCAGCTGTGGACTCGTCAGTGGATGAATCACTGTGACTATAGCGTTCCCACGATCCATTCACCTTCCAAACACAGGAGACCTTGGGGGAGTCATTTTAGATGTCAACGATAGCAACACATATCTGCTTCAACACAGCACCTAGTCCAGCGCTGTTCCGAGTTCAACTGTGTGTTCTGGCATCTTTACCTTTCCTTGGTATGAGACTTCCATCAAAGGTGTGTTCTGCAAATATGGGCTACCACCCACAGCGTCACTTCTTGTTCTCCATGTAATGTCATTGGAAGAGAAGAAGACTTTAATTTCCACAAAGTCCAGTTTTATTGACTTTTTCTTTTGCATCGTGCCTTTGGCATCATATCTAGGAAATAGATGCCGAAGCTTTTCTGATGTATTTCTGTTAGGTAGCTTTCCATTGCTGTCACAAACAACATGAGAAATTCAATTTAAAGCAGGACAGGTTTATATTTTGGCTCATAGCTAAAAGATTTCAGCCCATGATCAATTGGTTCCACTGCTTTTAGGCCTGTGGTGAGACAGAGCTTCATGGTGGAAGGGCAAGGGGAAACTACTTACTTCATGGAGGCCAGGGAGCAGAGAGAGACAGCAAGGAAAGGTCCAGGGACAAGATATACCCATCAAAGACCTATTCCCTCCCGTATCCAAGGACCTTCTTCCTCTTAGAGCCCCTACTAAAGTTTTCCCCACCTTCCAAAAACCTATTAAGCTATTTTTTTGCTGTACTAGGGATTGAGCTCAGGTCCTTGTGCTTGCGAGGCAGGTGCCAGAACCACTGAGCTAAATCCCTGGCCCTATTAAACTATTCTTAATCCATAAATGAATTACACCAACAATGATATCAGAACCTCAGGATTCAGTCACTTTAGGACCAAGACTTCAATGCACTAGTTTTTGGGAGACATTCCAGATCCAAGCCATAATAGCTTTCTTCAAGGATTTTTATAAATTTTTAGATTCACACAACTCTATGATGCATTTTGAATAAACGTTTGTGTATGGTATTAGGCATGAATGAAGGTTTTGTGTGTGTGTGTGTGCCCTCTTGTACCTCTTTTGTATTGAAAAATTCACTCAAGGGAAATGCCTTTGTGTACTTTGAAAATCTGTTTTCCACATTCATGTGGCTTTACTAATGTGCTCTCTATCCTGTCCCATCAATCTTTCTAACTTTAGGTTGATACCACTTTGTCTTGATTACTGTAGCTTTTAAGAAGTCTTGAAATAAGGTAATATTATCAGTAACACTTTGGTCTCTTAGTTTTGAAAAAAAACTTTTTTTGAAAGGATCTGTTCTATTCTTTACATTTCCTCATGTGGTTTTTATGACCAGCTTGTCATATACTAAAACAAAACAAAACAAAAAGAACAGCCCATGCATAGCTCTAAAAATCCCTTTGGGCTTTGATTGGAGTTGCACTGAGTGGTGGATAGAGTAGTTTAGAGAGAACTGGCTTCTTACAAAAATTTAGTCTTCTGATTAGTGAATTGTGGATATTTGTTAGGTCTGCCCTAATTTCTCTTAGCATTATTGTGTTATTCACAGTGTACAGGTAATACATGCCTTTTGTCAGATTTATCTGTAAGAACTTCATACGTTTTGATGCTATTGTAAATGGTATTTTATTTCAATTACTCATTGTGCATTTGTTCATTGCTATTATATAAACAAACAATTGATTTTTTTATTTGTTTGGTTTTCATGGTGCTAGGGACCAAATCTATGGCCCTTTGCATGGTAAGCAAATGCTCTATCACTGAGATATATCTTTAGCTCCTATAATATATTTTTATACATTGCTATTATATCTTTTTTTTTTTTTTTTTTTTTTTTTTT